GTGGTGTCATTAAATTTATTTTCATATCACCTAGAAGGCCACTGAAGAACATGTCGTGGTTAATTGACCTTGACTTCTCAAAAACAATTAACAGGCATATGATATAACGCAAAGGTTAACTTTTCGACATTTCTGTATATTTTTTAGTTAGTTAAAGACCCATTAATAAACGCTCATTCAAGAGTTATATGATTTTAATTAAACTAGATCACTACTATTCATAAACACGACGAAAATAAGCCTGAGAGAGGAGTATTCACTCTTCCAGTTCTAGCAGAAATAATTGGTTACCTTACGTTCAATTAATTTGTCCAGATTTTAATATAAAGTGCTCGTTTATGTGCGAACGTTTAATTTTGTTCCACACATCAAACATCGATATACAAAGATTGACACTTTCTCTAGAGGAACAACACACTTAATTGTGATAATCATTAATATAATTTGTTTATTGTGTATTCTAATTTGTGGGATGTTCAAGACACCGAAATGGCGAAACGGTAACTTTCTTCGCATTCACTCGGAAATAAACTTAAATAATTAATGAGTCACTTGTATATACTTGTATACCGGGCGTCCCTCTACAGTTCTCGAAGGAAAGGTAGTGATTATGGTCAAGGTACGGTTTAATTTGTATCACTTATTACAGTGTTAAATATAAATAATATCTCTACTTCGCCAAAAATTCTTTACAAAAAAAAAACTTTTTGTATACTCAGTGTGTATTTAATATCATATCTTTAAAGAGGTGTTTGAAGTCTGATAGTTCATACTCATAAGGAATAAAAATACACGCACTCATCATTTTTACGGCAAGTTGTTTTAAACTTCAGCACAGATATTGACACCCACTCTGGGACACCCAGTATCTCTTATTTCCTTGCGTCCATCAGCCTGGTGGTTTTATTGTCGTTTAATTATCATCGCTACCAAGGAGTTTCCAGTAATATTAAGTCATAAAATGCATGTGATCGAAATTTTAATGCAGGTAGTGATATTTATTTGTCGTCAAGTGGACGTCCTTCTTTGACAGAATTTTATTCCGGTCAGAATCAGACGGTCATCAATAACATAAAAAACAATGTTAAGTCAAGGTGTGCCTAATCAGTGGGTAATTTAGATTTCTGCGAATAACCGCGGATGTATTATTAACACAACTAAGATGCAGTTGCATCATTTTCCTTACATAAACCAAACATAAGCAATGAAAATCAGGTTAACAAATAATAGGCATCTCTTCATGGGTTTTTAAATGTACAGGCATCTTATTAAATTAACTGAGGAATTAATTAGTTTTGCATGCAGAACTTTTGAAAGCTCCCATGATGTAATGCGCCGTAACTGGAACAGATTACAGGGAGGCAAATAAAATCGAAGAGACGAAATAATTTTGATCACATATTGATTTATTGGAATAATTTTGAAATCGTTCAAGTTGAAACAAAAGACTTGATGTCAATAGTGAACTCTTGGGAGGGAATCTTTTTTATAGATGCTGAATTTTTGTGAAAGAAGATGGTGACCTCTAGGGAACCTGTGTTAAAAACTGTTTTATTTGTCCATAAAAAATTCTTACATTTTGAACATCGAAAAAATGTATGCACAACTAGTTAACTAAAAATATCAAAGTTCGTAATTTAATTTCATGCATTGGTACCATTTTGATACTTATTACAGTACAATCTATGATATGTCTGTACTACAGAAGAATGAAAAAATAGACGGATTCTTGTTCTCAAATACCTAACCACGAATTAAAATACTAATAGCACTATTTTTGTCCAGTGGCGTGTGTAATAAACAAAGATGCCTTTTTTTTCATCTAACAATAATTAAGAAATTATACATAGAAATAATTATATGTAAATCGAATATACTAAACGTTTTAATTAATAATAATAAGAACATTAATAACAATAATAGTAATAAAAATAAAAATCAACGACAACTACATACGTTTAGCCGAACAATCACATTTCTGACTCATTATACCAATAATATCGTAAAAACAATTTTATCGACACGGAAATAGGGAAACAATTAGCTTTGTTAATCAATTCAAGTTTTGCTGAGGCTATTCGCAATTTTTTTACTTTTATGCAAATAGCATCGTCCTTAAACTCTAAACACGATTATTAATTATGTTCGAATTTAGAAAGAATCCCGGAACGCTAACCATAAACAACGTAACAAAAAATTGATATAGAAATTAAATTATTAATTTTATTTCCTCTTGTATCAGATAATTTTTATTACATATGTATTTGCTGATTACATAGACGTGCCCGGAGGTATATCGACGAGTTGTAAAATTTTCTGGTCTTATCCTGCACCTACTAGTACCTATTATCTAATTATTTGGCAAGTCATGTTATGTATGCGGCGTATCGCGAAGAAATGTTGCTATTCGTTTTTGCAAGACCTTGTTGTACTCAAGGTTGACGTCATATAATTTTTGTATTCTGCATAATTAATGTAAGTACTTATACGCTGCTTACTGACAATGTTCTTTATGAGCTTTAATGTTAGTTTTGGAGTACTGTTCTCATAATTTAAAGCTTGTTTACAGAACTCGCGATTAAGTGTTATCGAAGGACATTCCACTTCTTAGAACTGAACACCACGTAAAGGAAAAAAAAGTAGTTTCTACTACAAAAACTCATTACTGCTAAATGCATTTCCAAGAAACTGTCAAATAAAAATTAAGAATTTACCGCTTAATATACACAGGAAATAGAGGTGTTATTCGACTTTCTATTTTAAATAACGGCTCAGTTAAAAATTTTTGGGAACATTTATGTATTATTACAGTCATGGCACGACAGCAACACTACAGTACCATCACACATGTTAAAGATGCACTAACACAGCTATTTCGAACAAAAATGCTTTGAAGAATTTTAATTAAGGAAAAGTGAATGTCAATATTGTCCAAATTTTCGTCATTAGTATTATGCCAGATTTAATTTTCATTCTTCACAATCTCCATTGTTTGTGCTATTTTAGAAATATTTATTCCTTTAATCATAAATTTCAAATGTGTAAACTTTGTTTTTACAATTTTATCCTGATAGTGTCAGACTTATCATGCCATTTTAAAATAATTGTACTCGGTGAACATATTTTATCGGAGTACTTTCAAATGGTGCCAACATTCCACATGGAGTTCCGCAAGGTTCAGTTCTTGGATCCATTTTGTTTCTTTGTTCACGAATGATCTACCTTCTTATTTAAAGGATGCAGAAATCACACTTTATAGTTGACACCTCTATAGGCAATGTAGGAATAACAACCGAACAGGCCAAACAAAAAGACGAATTTCTCTTAACCCAAAAAAAAGCGTGATTTTTTCAGAACCGACTATCTTTGAGTAAAAATAATATTATTACTGGTTTGATTGATTCGGAACGAAACAGATAAGGATCCTATAGCGAATAAAATCTACAATTATAAAAATAACAGTGATGACTTAAGTTATGACTTCTTGAAGCTGACAAAATGTAAGTCATAGTTTTGTATTAAATTTTACAATATATTGCCAAAGACATTTGAGTGTCTTGATATTAAAAAGATTTAGTCCACAAGGCCTTTTACTCTGTTGATGTTTACTCTACAAATTAGAACTCATTTTGATTTGCTCTATCTCATTATAGTGTAATTGCTGTGGATTCCCAAATAACACAATAATACATTAGATATATGTACACATAAGTTGACTTTATATTAATTGCTCCTATTATTCTTACGTATCCCTGGAATTATCTTTGTTTTGAATTCATGTAAATACTTTTGTAGAATAAAACAATATATGGTAGACACAACAAGTAGGTATACTCAGAACATTATTTTTGTATTAACTGAAATTTTATCTAGTAGGTATGTTTGTTTTTTCAAACATTGTATGCACAAAAAAGAAACCGCTTTTGTTTATTACACTTTGTTCGCTTTTTCATAAAAGAAACGAACAAAGTGTGATAAACAAAAGCCGTTTCTTTCTTGACGTCACAGTGAAATTTTAAAAGTACAATTCTGGCGCGAGATTATCTCGTCATTTAGGGTTTTACAAACAGTAAAATAACGTCCTGCGTATACACAGTTTTAATGAGATCTAACTTTTTGGAGATCAGTGTTATAACTGTGGAAAAAATGTTAGTGAATCATTACTTTTATTTAAAACAAAGCATGTTCTGTTGCTATGAATGTTACTACATCAGTACAAGAGTCATCGTTTAATTGTTCAAACAATTATGTCGATAAGCTGCCAAAATATCTCTGTTAATTCAATATTTACAGAGCTATCGAATCCATTATACTCGATGTGATGCTGGTGGAAGCAACTAGAAATTACCGATTCGAAAATATTCTGGGTAATGAAAAAAACCGTTTTGTGTCATTCATTAAGAAGATGAATAATAAAACAATTTTTAAAAGTTAGGTGTTCTTAATAGAGCGTTAATAATAACAGCACGTGATTTACTAATTAGTATGAAATGCGAATAATTTTTGAAAGTGTACAAATAAAACATAAGGTTTCACTTATTTGTAGGTGTTTTGTAAATATTAAGATAAAACAGCTCAGACCCACTGACATTATTAAACCAAATATGAATATGCAAAGTAATTTTTTCGCATTTCAAGGAAAACAGAAACGGGATTTTTAGTATTTTATCATTACGGGTTAATAACATGATATTTATGGTTTTCACGAATCTGTTCATCACTATTGCCAAACTTGGCCTGATGCAAGCAAATCGTGAGGAAATCAAACATTTTTGAAGCAATAATTGTCGTGACAAAATTGCTTACGACAACATAAAAAATTATTAGCGAGTTTCATAGGTGTTGTGATTTGTTTCTGGGGGATTTTGTTGCAGCGGTGCACCGCCTGATGCAAAAGTAAAAAGTATCGATCGAACAGGGAAATCTTAACCGATTTACCTTCGGTTCAAGGCAAAGTACTCTTACTATCAAGGATTTAATTTGGTCTATTTGGTACTAACCTCCTTCTTCCACATGCGTTCCATGTTTGAGATGGTGCAGGTGGGCGTAATAATGATGATGATGAAGAATACACTCGAGATCCGTGCAATTTAACATTTTCACTCGTGTCCTTAGAAACGGAGGTACCAGTTACAGTACTGTCGAAATTCTCGATTTTATCCCATTATTGACTTTGAATGTTTTTAATTCTTATTGCCACACACTCGTGTTTATGTCACCACACCGCAACGAGGTCTTACATACAAGGATTATTAATAAACATTAACTCTATTTACATTAAACTGTTCCAAAGCGAAAGCAACAGCACATATCACCTGAATGGCTTATCGGTTACCATGGCGGCCGGGAATTTCGAAAAGCTTGTCTGGGAAATATTCAGTCACTCGTATTTTTCCGATCTTCCTCGCGGCCGCTGTTTTGGGGAAGGTCAAGGTTCACAAAAGACACTATTTATCACCGCAACCTCAACTCGTGTTCACTTGCCCAGTCTTCCGCAAGACACCAGACACTGCCTTCGAGAGTGCTACAAGTCAAATGCCTTCATGTTCGTAGTGGTTGTGATTGTCGATAGCTAGTAGTGGGTCACAGGCTAGGTTAAACTGGCACAGAGAAGAAGTCGTCGCTCACATGCGATGGGATTCACACATTACACGCTTGGTCGACTGTATTACAGCTCGATTCATACGAGATAGAAGGTTAACACAAACAAGACATCGGCGGTGCAAGGAATGGAATGGATAGCTGCAAGCCTGCAGGAGAGGGGCCACTTTCTAGGTATGTGCAGCCCCTCTACTGTCACAATACAATTAAAACGCAAGTTGCACTTGATGAGAGGAACAACCTTCCACCGGCGTTTTTAACGGCACTGCATTTTCACAATTTTGACTTTTCCGCTTTTGATTCGATGATCTTGATCCCCAAGGATTCTGCGAAATCGAAATCTGTTATTCAGGTCAATACGATTACATTTTATTATACTTGCCTCTCCTAAACAGGTGCATGGAATACTTTTTACACCTACTATGAGGTGACGGTCGTACCGACGGCGGTTTTAATTCATCGATTGAAATTAATCGTACTTCATCTAAATACTGTAATCAGGTAATTACTAATAATTAAAAAAAAAAAAATAATAACAAGCGAAGATTAGGAGCGTTTTAAAAGATTAATAGCAATCAATTTATTACAATTACACGAGGAAGTAAGTTGGGTATCATTTCTCGTTCCATCTTTTACTTATCAGACACTTTTTACTTTGACAAAAAAGCATCTGCATCATTTTACAGCACGGATAAAAAGTTTAATGATTTTATAATAACCGTATCACTTTATTAGATGGTATTATTAATTTGATAAAACCGTTCCCTTGTAATTTTTTCGGGTACTAACCTCGGGCAGTATACTTACGGATCAGAGCTAACTGCCAAGAGAAACACAAACGGAATCTTGAACTTACGTACTTCTTATAACACATAAAATAATCAATATGTGCTGAATTTGGCAACAGTTGGGAAGAACTTTTTACATGCAAACTAGTTTCTTCATTTCTAACATTCATATCTTCTAGATCCGGTCCCAAAATAAATTCTAGTTAGGTTTCTTATTCTAATGCGCAATCTGATAAAGCAAGGCAATTAATAAAGTGTGAATACCACGGTTACTGAATATAATGCCAATATTTCAAACATACTTACCAAAAATTCTGGTAGGAGAAATGCTGTCTCAGCATTGCGCATTATAAACTGTAACCTTTAAGAAATACCTAAAAAAAGTGTTGAAGTTGTAACATCACTGTAATATCTAGTATGCATTCCCGCATAATACCTCAAAAACTTTACATAAGCGTTGATGGGTTTTGACAACTATTTCGTCATCTTCCTGGACAAAAGGAAACATCGTGGGAAAAATTGCACTTCCAGGAAGAATAAAAAATTAGCGTGAACGGAAATGTGATTTTTATAAACCATAATGCAGTGGTGGGTAGCTCTCTTTAGTAATTTCATGGACGTAGAAAATATTGTTGACAGCAGTAACTTTAAAGAAACAAGTTGAATTGTCGGACCGATTATTTGAAACCTCACAGGCAGGATCTACGTTATGTTCTAGGAAGAAACATTACTGAAGGTAATAAAAAGAAAATCCTTGGTTTCAAAGAAAAGCTTTTGAGATATTGATTAAAAAAACTGAAAAGAAATTGACAAAAAAATTTTCACACGACAGAGCGAAGAGCAAAGCTCTGTTTCATGTGGAAAAAGCAATAATGACTTCAGTTTTTCTGAACAATCATGACCGATTAATCCCAAAGAATCAGCCCATTCACTAGCGAAGAAAGTTGTGCAGTGCTTGTGGAGCAACTGAACCAAAAAACTGGTTGCGAAGGCCATGAATGTCTCGAAAAAGATGTTGCATCACCATTCTGAAGCATCTTCTTCTGCAGTTTGTAAAACAGTAGATATCTTTTAAGCACACACAAAAACACAGAGTAATTATAATTTCAGTCGACTTCTACGAATGTTCTCCAGATGGTCAACGGTTTCTGGGTGATGTCGCAGCGGTCTGTCAAGTTTGATGTTTTGACAGGAATGCTGCTTTCTTTTAGAGTAAATTTGACACAGAAAGTATTTTTTGAAACTCTAGAAAATTAAGACAACCGAGGCTTGATCCAGTAATGCTACTATATGAATATATTTTTAAAATATCAAATAACTGGGACAAGTAGGTAGCAAAAGTGAAATTGATTTTAACGATAAATTTTAAGTTCTGAACCTGATCATTATAACAATCATGTAGTTTGGGCAAGGTATATTATTTCACTGAACGCATGAGCAAGTAGCAATTTATTTTCAACTTTGCCCTATAATAATCATCCACATACCGTGTGAAATTATATATATGTAGATTAAAATATACTCAAAATGAGCAACAACTGGGCAGAATTGAGGTTTTATGTGAAAAAAAGGAATCCTTTCAGTTTGGTATGTATTATTTTTTATTATATTTTTCAAAGAAAAAAAGATAATTGCTCTTCACTTCAACTCTACACTCATCATGATAGTTGGTACAATTTCGGTCAATAAAGGAAAATACATTTTACTTAATATTCATGATTTCAGTTTTTGTTGATATTTTTCAAAATAATGTTCAATCTGTTTTTCATTTGTAATTTCTGATATTACAAGCACGCTAACACTGGATGCAACGTGATAAATCATTTAAACATCAAACATCAAAGTAACAGTAAAGCATAGACTACATAAAAATATTCAGAATGACAGAAAAAAGACGTCCAATATTTTTTGGCGGTGACTGTAGATGATGTTAGACCATGGCACAAAATTAATGAAATAAACCAATTTCGGTCACTCAGTCACTTTTTAGCTTGATCAAATTCATATAGTTTTTAAAAACACAAGCTCATAAAATCTTCTAAAACATTTAGGTACTTGTTAAAGTGACTAGTAATTAAAATGAATCCTTACTGAACGTCACTGTTTAGTAAATGTACACCTACATGAGTATGTACTAAACTCACTTGACATACGTCTAGTAAAATTTGTATGACTTAAGCGGCTTAAGCCAAACCACCTTTATAAGTCAAGCTGGCTATTGTTTAACTTAACTCAGTCGACTGACACCTCGTAAAACTTGACAACTCCATTATGACAACAATGGACAGTAATAATCCTTGCGGTTCGTGTCCATAAAGCTTACAATAGCTAGTTTGACTTATAAGGGTGGCTTGACTCTTTGGCTTAAGCCGCTTCAGTCATAAAAATTTTATCAGGTGTATGTCAAGTCAGTTTAGTATACAGATTAATAAATCACTTGAATGTATTCTGGAAACCAATTTTCTAAATAACCGAGATGATCCTTGTACCGCACCCGGCTTAAAATGATTTTCATTCTCCCTTATTTAATTCTTCAGGTAGTATCCTTCTATACATGATCGTTTTCCGGGTTGGAACCGTGTTAATTGAGTTTTTGGGCTCAAAAAAAAAGAGTTGGTTGACATACTGAGTTACTGCGCTCTTTTGCCGTATTCTTAACCCTGCTCCTGAAGATACCACTTACGAAAGTGTGCGAAACGTTGAGCCCAAAAACTCAATTAACACGGTCCCAACCTGGAAAACGATCATGTATTGATTCCGACCGTCAAAGCCTCCGAAATTAGTATCCTTCTAGTAATTACTCATTTTATCATTTACCCGTTTCGTTTTCAATTTTGTCGGTCCTTATTTTGGTACTGATAAGTGAGCTTCGCGTCCAAAATGCCAAAAGTTTCTACAAGTGTCCACGACTGGATAAAAAGTATCTCAAACTACTGTTAGATGAAAATTTTTAATCTGTTTTTTGCAGATTGTGTTGTAAAAAGATAAATAAGGTATACAAATTTTTCTCATTGCCATATTTTTGAATTTGTCACATTTATTTTTATTAGTCCCAATTTCAAACAGTTGCTTTAATTTATTGATATCTTATACCTTTCAATTAAACGCGAGAAGTAAAGCATGCACAATATAAATTAATTTATTGTTCAGGTCGCTTGTGAAAAGAACTTTTCGATAATTCAGCATATTGGGACAACCCTTGACAAAAATAAGCTGAAGAACTCTAGTAATGTGAAGTCACAAAGTTTGTCCCAGAATCTTTCTCCAACACGCAGAAGATGACAGATCAACGAGAATATCGTTTCGTATCGTGTGAAGTATTCCTCAATGCCAATATTCTTTTATTGAAATTGAATAATCGCAAGCTGCGATCAGTTCTTAAAAGCGTACCATAAAGTCAGTTCCCGATGAGAGTACCTTAAGTGTTTCGAAAAACAAAGCAGGGTATTCGTTAAATTATAGCCGATAATCTAATTTATTTTCATGTCGATGAAACAACCGATTCATGTGGACGTTAAGTCGCAAATTTCTTGACTGGAACTTTGACCAGTGAAAAATGTGGCGCTTCATAGTTGATTAGCACAAAAACTTTGGAAAACAGATAATAAGTAGTACCATTACAAGGTTTATTCGCGAAGGTTTAACGAACTTTTTTCTTCTGGAACCAGTTACAGTTGAAAAAATCAAATTAATGTCATCAGATGCTGCTACATACATGTGCAAAGCTTCATCGAACCTAAAAATATTTTTTACTTCCTCTTGTCTTGTTAAAGCTCTTTTACTGTCGTCTGAACTAACTCGGTAAATTATCCTTTACACGCACCCTGCCTGTAAAGCGTTACTGTGGCAGCTTTACAGGCACCTTGCCTGTAAAACGTTATCATGACAGCACCGGAATCAAACACACATTCGCTGCGTCGGCCTTTTTCTTAATCTTACTAATACTGTGCTAATACTAACGTTAAAATCACCTTCAAACTCTTCATCTTCATCGAATTCCACAATTAACAGAGCTCAGAAACAAAATTAAACTATTTAAATTATTAATCGAATTTACAAATTGACAGTCCCGTTATTTTCAAACAATTCAATTTTCCATAGTTACCGGAGCAAACTATGAA